TGGATCCGTTTATAGGAGCAAATGATTTCGAAACTAACCTGACTTTGCATTAATAAGTTTCTCGAAACTCTAAAACTTTCCAAATTCGTGTTCATTTGTATGCATTGTTTTGGTTTTCATATCATTATTACAAACGGATTGATTCGATGACTTGGAGAGCAATCCATTTGAGATAATGTCTAACGAGTTGTTGATTGCTTCGTGTAATCGCATCCACTTCTGTGCGTCTTCTTTGCACTTAATCGATGTGATGGCGCTGTGGACCAGAGTTTCAGCTGAATCCCAGATAATTGCCGGCAACTCATTGTTCTTGTATTCAATTTCGAGCAAATGTTGCAATAATTGAAGGAAAGGCTTCTCATAGCAAGGATTACCCGATATTTGACTTAAAATGGTATAAAACACATTTTGATGGCAATTCAAATCTGAAGGCATTTCACAGGTGTAATGACTGCTCGTCCAAAAGTACACAACTCTTTCAAACTTCTATTGAAACACAATATAAAGCGTTAATTAACTGTTTAGTGATTTTATTAATGATGTGATTCAAGAACCCAAAGCTGAAGGGTATTGAAGTGCAGGTGCGATACAATCAAAACAATGCATACGAATGAACACGAATTTGGAAAGTTATAGAGTTTCGAGAAACTTATTAATGCAAAGTCAGGTTAGTTTCGAAATCATTTGCTCCTATAAACGGTCCAAACAAATGTTTAGGCATTGAATTAAGGGATATTCTGCACTATATTAGAGACCATAAACTCAAATTTAGTTACAATATTAAGAAAAATATGAGAATAAAAGTTCTGTTCATTTATTTTGCTTACCTCTCATTGCATTGTACTTTAATCTAAAAATTGCACTAACAATATGAGTTAATTTATATTTGATTAAAACGCAAATACAAAAACTTTAAGCATTTTTAGAGCAGACGTCGACTTGTTTTATGTCTCGAATGCATTAAATTAAATACTTTGCGATGACTTTCACTACCATTCAAATCATATTTAACTTCAATTTCATGTATGAATGCTATGTTTGTATAATAAAACAATGTTGGCGAGGATGACCTCAAAAATGTTACGAGAGAGAGAGAGAGAGAGAGAGAGTGAGAGTGAGAGAGAGAGAGAGAGAGAGAGAGAGCATAGATTAGGAGTGGGTTGTGCGGCACTTTCTTTATATGGTCATACCTATCAGACCATTTACAGAAGTTTTGTAAGAAATTAAATTGTTTTTAGTGATTCAACTTGCAAAATTCACTCATATTTTTATCAACAAAATTCAAATTAACGGTAATTAATACCTTTAAGATGATTTCAATTCAAAGTGGGTTTTCATAAAATAAAATTAAGAATACTTTTTAAAGATTGCTATTATTAAGAGATCACAAAAGCATTATAATTGTGTTTAATGAGTAATTATTTCAGAATAAATTCATATGAAGCAATCACACTTAATTTCTGTAAATTATGACAATTATTTTAACAGTTAATTTCTACAGTTAATCATAATGTCTTATATAAATTAATATCCAATCTAAACTTGAATTTCATTCCCTTTCAAATTTGTATTTATTGACAATAAAAACTAATTTTTAAGAAAATATTTTTTTAATATGCATGTATGAAATATCCAATGTATTGTTTTATTATTTATACAATTAGTTCAATGTTATGATTGAAAGCAAAACAAACTTTAGAGACTAAATTTTTCTGAGTTAACTGTTAACATGAATTCGCCCCTCTTTTGAGTTTACACCTAATTATAGTTAACATATAGAGACAATCGTATATTATATAATCATATGACATATCGTTGATGGGAGTTTAACTATTTTATTATAGCTAAAAAGATTGACATAATTACTAAATATATTTATTAGTACAACTCAAGATCATAACAATTTTCCACTAATCATAACTAATTTCTTTAAATTTATTTTATTTAATTTACAAAACAAGATTTTAATGTTTAATGTTTAATCAAAATTTATAAAATTATTTTGTTTTTAAACAATTTAGGTATACGGCAATTTGTTAACGCATATATTAAATTAAATGACTCATTCATCATAACTACAAATGTAAAATAATATTAAATAAAAATAAAAATTTCTTTTCCTTAAATTTATAATGTTTATCATAATTTATCAATCAAATCAATCTAAACTGTGCTAAACACATAATGTGTGTCAATATAATCATTGAATTTGTTAAACAAAATATTAGTTTTTCTTTATTAGATTCAAAATGAAAATAAAAGCCGTTTTATTCTTTGAAGATATGCCTTATTTTTGTCAATTATGTCAAATATGTTTTATCATTTTGACAGATTTTATTGACAAACTAAATATATAAACATTTGATTGTAAACTCAGTTCTTAATATTAATATCTAAAGGATGATAATAACATGACCTTTCTCACAAAACATGTATTGTAAAAGCTATTAATTTAAATGTATGATAAGTTAGTATTTATTTAAGTTCTTTGTATTTATGATTCTGTATAACATACCATATTTTGACTAATTTTCACAAATGAATTCAATTTCTCAAACAAAAACAATAATAAATCTTATTTTTATAGCATATACATAATATATCAATAATTATGACAAAACTTTATATTTTCTATGATCTATACATAACACTTTAAATAAATGGTGTCATTTTGTAAATATACCCCAGGCCAGTCGGATACTCTATATTAGAAGTCAATGCCAAAGGATTTCATTTGTTGAATATAGGCTCAGGCAAGTGCCGACTATTTACGACATGACCATCACAAGTTATTACTGTTGTTTTTATTATAACAACATTTAAAAGGAAGTTCAATGGAAAATATTGGATGAAAAAGTGTTAGATTCAAGTAAAAATGATAATTTACAGAAAAGTAGTGGGCAGTGAAGGCTATTATAATTCATAATCCGTTATAATTATTTGAAATTTTAATTTTAAAAATATCGTAAATTAATTTAACTTAAATTGTATTAATTATATTTTTTTAAAGAAATAGTTAAATTAAAAATTATATAGTAATATAATTAATATAATATTTTATAACTATTGAATCTACTATTTTATATACTAATGGTATTAATTTTCACTTTGCTGAATAAACTTATTATAAATTCTAATTAATTCTATAAATAAAATTCTCTAACAGGATATATTTCATACGCTTTTGTAATTTCAAACAATATTATCGGTAGAATATATTTTAACAATAATAGCAAATTTTATCTGAAAGCATGATATAGAATAGTAATTTTTGTTTACAATTTTCAATTCTCAAAATTTCATCTAATACAATATTTCCTAATGACATTATGTTGAAATAAAAAACAATACTCACTATTTTGTGTAAGTTTTCATATTTAGTATAAAATATTTTTAGCAATTTTTTTAATTAACACTTCTATACACACTCTCCAATAAATAAACTGTCTGAATAAATGTTTGTTAGAGAAATATGTTGGTAATGAAATATTTAGATATTATACAACTAAGGATAAGACATTGTAATAAAACTTAACTCTTAAAAGCGCTTTTATTGACAACTAATTACATAGCAATAGAGTTATTTTACCTATATTTGCTTTACTGATATTTGCTTAACAGTCTATACATTGTATCATTTGTTACACGTATTATTTTAAATACTCTTAATCCACTCAATAATGTTTAAATAATAAATTTTTATCTTTATTAACTATTAAATTAATACTAGATATAAAATAACCAGAATATTAATGTCTAATTTCACTATCTAAATATAAGTTTATATTTAGATAGAGTTCAATAAAATAGCTTTACTGGACTTGAAGTGTAATGCACTGTAATTCTGTAATTCTTAGTGAATATGATAAATGAATAATAAATAACTTTGAATAGTTAAAAGTCATTTAATAATTAAATTAATAATTATAATTAATACTTTCATAAATATTTTATTTAAAATGTAAATTATTATAAAACGATTTTATAGTTTAACACTCGAATATACAGGATGTTTTTAAAAATTTCATAAAATTATTTATTTAATATATTTCGTTTAAAATATCATTTATAAAATTTAACACATACTGTATCATTTATATCTATTTTTATATACATTATTCTCTAGAGAATATTACCACTGTATAGGATATTGTCAATTTCATGTTTGATTAAATTTATGAAATATTAAAAACAAAATTCCTATGCATCTCACTTTTCTCGTTTAATATCACTTATTTCATGAATGAGTGGTTTCAGTGAATTTAGTCAATGTTTCCAATTGTGACATATTCTCAAAATGTGTGACATATTCATAACATTCTGTACAATAAATTCATAAAAATTCTTGCATTCCCTATAATATACTAGAATTTCTATACACTGACTATCACACTAAACTCAAATATAATTCAGTGATCCATTGATCAATACTGTACAATACAACACATTCAATCATAACTTAAGATATAGGATATTCTGGTCATTGTTTCATTCAATATTTATCTTAATATCAATAATTATAAAGAATAATCCATAAAATAATAGTGCACTACCATTCATATAAGTTCATATGAATATTACAATATAACTCAACTATACATTGTAATTATTAGGCACACAAGGTAAATATTGAAATAATTACTGTACTTATATTTATGAGAACATATGGTGTAAAAATGAACCTGTATCAAATATATAGAATATAGTCTGATATGAATACTCAATGTTTGAAATTAGTTTTGAATCGCGATTCTCGAGTCAATGCATACAAAAGCGGCGCAAATGTTGTGGAGTCGAGTGAATGCATAGGAAGCGAACGAATGGGCGAATAGTCCACAAACAGAGTGTGCATTGAATGCAGTGTTGTGTTAGTGTTGACTCTTATGAGTGTTTGTTGAGTCAGTAATCCCTTTAAATTTGGTGCAACCCATGGATCCATTGAACAACTGTTTGCTCTTTGACTGAGTCTTTGACTGAATTGAAATGCGATGACTGGAGTGAGACATCCCATTGAATGGTTGGGTCAGTCATTGGCGTTGATATGGTGTGTGTCACCGGTGTTTGGCTACTACTGTGACCACAACTTCTGTCAAATCAGTTCCCAATACTGTTGTGGAGACAACTTGTGCTGCGATTACGTCAACCAAACCGTCTTCAACTCCATTGTCGTCGTCATCTCCATTATCATCATATCATCCATCCTTTGGGCACTCTTTCGTCTCTTCCTCTACAATAAGACGTTTGTTGTCATTAAGACATTTGGCCAGAAGTTGACCGCAAAGTCCAACACTCGACCCATCGGTCAAACGGTATTCACAAAACCATTTTGCGATCATTTCATTAACCATTGATTGTCTCGTTGTCTGTGCAGTGGTTTGAAGACCCGGAATCGAGTCTATTAAGCGATCACTTGGATGTGAGCCATGGATGAGATGTGATTAAACGGTTACACAACCGGTAACTGATATACAGTAGACTCGTAATCACATAATAGAGACACCGTTTCCTTAGCTCTTAAACCTGTTTGAGATCATACATTACATGACAGCCAACCATCAAAACATGATTTGGTCTCATCCCTGGTCTCATCCCTGTTCACATCCCTGGCCTCATCCCTGTTCACTGTATAGTTGAATGTGTTTTTCAACAAATCAATAGTTTTTGTGTTCACTTCTAATATTAAGTACAATACCTTTTCAATCAATTAAATCATATTTTTATATGAGATCTGAAACAGTGATAGTCTTTCGTATATAATTGTTAAGCAAATGAGAAAACTGTTATTATAGTAATTGACAACTTGAACCAATATCGCTATAAATACCAAATTATCTAATTGACCACATTTTTCATAAGGAATATATTTTCTGAATGACTATAAATGCAATTTACAATATTTGTCACAGAATTAACCATTACATTGGTATAAGATTTACTTATTATTAGAGCAAAACAAATCAAATGAATTGTAGTATACTGTTCATTATGAATGACATCAAATATTTACCGTTAATTATTATGATAGACATTATTCTCATATGTGAGTCATACAGCATTCTCTTGTATTTATTAAATTATTGTTACAATTTTAAGAATAGTTGTGGTAAATGATCTAGATAGTCATTTTATTGTATAATACAAATGTGTTTAAAACGAACATTTTTCCGACCATTATCATTTTATATTTTTATAAATAAGTTATTATTATTTGTTTGCAATAAAACTAAGTTTAGTTGTTTTAGTGATGCATTTAAATGACACAATTATAGAATTTTGCTATAATTTCAAGTATACTGTAAATGCTAAGTTATCAAACCCCTTATTTAATTATTAATTTTATCAAGGCTAATTGGATTCTGTGTTGGTCATACATTTACATTACTGTATTAATACCGTAGTTACATAAAAATAAGTTACATTTACTATAATAACAGCTTTATATAAATCCTATTATAAGAGATTGTTTTCATTGAATGTATAATTACTTGTAAAAGTAATCTTTTTATTTGATATTATAATTTTCATAAAGTTTTATTGAATATGTTTTTGAAAATATTGTAATTGTTATTAAATACAAAATGTTTTAAGTCTTCCAGTAATCATACAGTAGACATACAGTAATCTTACAATTTATGACTCACTTTTTAAATGTTTAATTTAGTTAATGAATAAATAAAATCTACTTTAAAATTATGAAATATTTATTGTATAAGGAATACGGTATGCACTCTATACCGGTATATACTTATAAATTTTAAGATTTTCGGTCGACTCAGGAATTGTAATTCGCTTTTATTTGTCTATTTTAATAATATTCATAATTATTATTATTATTGTTGTTTTATTTAATCAAGATTTTTATTATGTATTTAATGACATTGAAGTGCATTTAAGTCCATTTTAGTGTCTCAATAGGTTTAAAATAATATTTATATAACTATTAATTTGACATAAATATGAAATAAAAACATTTTAAAACCTCTTTTTTATTTATTTTGAATTTTTTAAAATTTTGCCAATAATTTGTGATTTAGTATACAAAACAATTAATAAATAATTATATAGAATATATTTAATACTGTTACTCATACAGGTATAGTGTGTATGATATATAAATATTTAAAGTAAAATAATACAGAATTCTATATACAGTACAATATCTTCAGTTGAATCAAATATACGGTATAACTTTTATTAGCCAGCAAAACTATTATACATCAATTAATCAAACTTTAACTCTAAAAATAAGTTATCTACTAATAGAGACGTCCAGTTTGGTAATAGATTTTAAGTCCTCATTTATTAATTATATTATTTTTAAGAATCAAATAAATTATTAGAATAATGGCTGAAGAGATGGAAACCTTTTAAGAATTAGTAGATTTAGACAATTAGTAGGAAATGTGTTTTGACTATTGATTCAAAAGTATTTTTATTATTTACTATATTTATTGAACACATTATACAATATGTATTGTTTGTATTCTATAGAATTTTTAATTAAAATTATTTCTTTATCAAATATTGTCTAATGTATAGCACTTGCATTTGAAAATAATATCCTATTATAAATTTGCTGTTATGTTACTGTAAACTATCATATTTGTATACTGTATACTAAAATCTGATCTTTTTATTTTGCAATTAACTCTCAAATATGATGATTGATTGCATACTTCGTATGACTTTAAAGTAATAACAATTTTATTTATAATGTGTTATGAATATTTCAATTTTACCAGATTCAAGAGATTAAATCAAATCAAGAGATATTAAATTATAATTTAAAATACTTAAATTATGTAAAATATTGCAATTATTAATAAATTTTAATTGAAATAAATGTCACAAAATGTAGCAAACATTATATTATAGCAAACATTAATTAGTAGTACCGTATAGTTGATAAAAATAATGATATTTAAATATAAACATTTGATTTATTAATGAATAAAAATCGAAAACATCTTAAATAAGACTCTTTATTATATACAAAAAATTTAATAATGACTATAAGTAAAGAACAAATTCATTGCTTATTCTTTACTAATTTTATATTCAAGTATTTATAAAATATGATTTGTTTTGTTTTTACATTTTAGTCTATAGTGAAAATTAATAGACATTATGATAATTAGTAGACGAAATAGATTTTAAGAATTAAATGAAGAATATTAACAAATATTAAAATCTCGAACAACTACTGCAAAAATCATTTGTCGACAATTTCATAACATTTCTTTGAAGTATTGCCTAATTTTGTAGCACTTGTTCTCAAATGGATTTTCAGTTTAGAATTGCGTTCAGGACTTTGGGGAGAATCTGTCAAAAATCAAATTAATTATTCTTATCATTCAAAAGGGAATGCATGTAATACCTGGCTGACTGGGTTTGGTATTAGTGTCCCTATTGGTCGATGGGACGGGAAGTATCATAAGTCTGGGTTGTTTGAAATTAGGCAAAGTTTGGTAATGTTTGTCAATCATATGTTCTTTGATATTATGATTATTCATTAAATGGTATTTCATGTCCGTCTCAAAGATGGACTGATGTGTACATCCGTGACATTTATAGATACTGAAGCCGATGTGAGTGACTGCGTGTTGAAGCAATTGATTCAAATTCATAAAGTCTTGAGTCGGACAGTATATGCATTGAAGTGACTTAAGATCAGTAAACTCTTTGATTTGCTCCTCAATATCATTCGGCAAAATAAGGTTAGTTTGTGGGGTGGGAGTGGTATTCGATGAAGCAGTGGATGAGGCATAGGATGAGGCAGTGGATGAGGCATAGGACGAGCAATTTGATGGATTAGGAACTGTTGACAACTCTTGGCTTTCATTGCTCTCTGACTGTGTTTTGGACGAACCATCGAAGGCACCATTTGTCAGATTCTCAACGAGTAATCGTTTACGACAACTCTTTTCATGAGATCTCTTAGCCGGCGCCCAATCGAAGAAATTTCCGCATTTGTAGACACAGGACGTGCTCTTTCTGGGCGCCGACACCACTCTTTCTGTTGGCCTCGAGTTCTCATTTCCAACCGAACGAGTTATGCATTTGTTTTGATTCACACAATCATTTGATGTCATATTAGTTATCACCTCTTCCTCCACCTCTTCGTCGCTCATATCTTCCACTTCAGAGCTGTTTTCACTGCTATTCGTCTGATAGGCCCTATGTTTCATGATTTCCTTCAAACTGTTTGTCTGAGTTTTGGTCCGTTTGTGAATTTGAATCAAATGTCGCGTTGCGTTTGACAGCTGTTTGAATACTAGTGAACAGAGAGGACAGGGATATACGAGTCGAGTCGTCGAATGGATTGTCTTCATGTGAACCCTCAGTGTTTTGGTTGAAGTGAACGAAGATTCGCAGACATCGCACACATTCGGCGTCTCATTCGTTGGGCTTCTGTCACATCCGTTGACATCAGTCTCCGAGCAATCGGTTGGCGGAAGGATTTCCTCAACTCTTTGCCTTTTAATGGTCTGACTTTCACTCAATTGTCGCGAATTCTTTGCGTCTTTGAATAAATCGCTTAAAATTTTCTTTTTATCGACAATATGTTGATTGCATTCAGTCTTCAGTTCATTGTTTTGTATGCTTTGAAACATTGCGTTTGGGTTCGTCTTAATGCCCGTCAATTGGACCTCAAGTTCATTGCACTCGTCTTGTCGTTGTCTCTCTTCGTTCACTTTCTTCACACATTTATCCATAAAATTGCGATTTTCTGCGACAATCGACTCATTGTTTGGATTAATGTTTTCAGTCGAGCTATTTGTGGCCGAACTCGAAGTCGGAGAAACAATTTCAATGACGGGAAGGGTTCCGCCCACAGGCTCTGGTGTCCGCGCGTGGTCTCCAGCGGCCTCTTCCTCCTCCACTTCATGGTCTTCGCCGTTGTTGTCGTCGTCGTAATCATTGAACTGGAAGTGAGTCGAGTCGAAGAGAAGCATTCGCTCACAGAAATGCTTTTTACAGTAAACCCTTTTATGAGATAAAAAGTTGGCTAAACTTCTGAACAGATTTGTACAGACTTTGCACTCGTATATGATATTACACTCATTGAGGATCAAGTCTTTCACTTCGAGTGACGAGTCTTTTATACAATTGAGAATCTGTTGGACATTCTTAACGCCCAAATTGATTGGCTCTCGAGTCAGCGAGTGGTCCATACAATCCCTGTCCAATCGGTCATCATTGATAGCACTTTCTTGAGCTGATCCGCAATTCATATGCGGTTCCACACTATTATCTGAGAGGCCTGTAATGGGCACACCTTTCGAGGACTTGGAGGCAAATGCCTTGAGAACGGACTGTGATAAGGCTTTCCTCAAAGGCTGTCCCACTAATAGTTTGTTTGTTGTCTTCTTAAACTTCTTATTCTTAGCCATTCTTTAGGAGAAATAAACAAAATATAAGTTATAATCAAAACAATCAATGAATTCAAAGAGTGAGGCATTCATTGACCACTCAATACAAGACCACTGCATGAATGGCACCAATGGTTAGACTGAGTGTCACTTCTGAGCACATCTTTGATTTCCTCTCAATTCTGGCCATTATTTCAATTCAATTGCCATTCATTTCAGACATAACTATATATTAATTCAAATGAATGCCAAAATCGGGACCAATTGAAGTGAATTAAGCAAACAATTAGAGTTAAAAAGCAGTCATTTCTGGCAAATTAAGCGCTGCTATGAAGTGTTGTCCCCATTATAGCCAACACTTCCAACACTTCCCACACCAATACACCAGAAATCACTGCAAGACATGCTTTACGGCACACATTGTGATCATCTGTCGAGACATACATTACGTTAAATCGGCGGACAATTAGTGAACCAACAGATTATCGATTAATTGATGGTTTAATACATTTTCATTTCAATATACAATACATTCAATGCATTCCCAATACATACGGACAATAAAATGAGAAAATCTTTTATCGCTGTTTCTGTCCATAGATTGCATTGCAGTCAACACACGACCACTCATTGAAAACATCATTTGATTTCAATTGCATTTCGTCTCTCATTTCGTTTGGTTTCTAAACATTGCTTTCAATTGTCAGCCAAACGGGTGACCAGTGATGGCCAGCATAGCCAACGTTCCCCATCCCGGGGCTCTCGTCAGCAAAAAGAAAAAGGCTTTTATCGGTTTGTATCACTTGTGCAGTCAATTGCAGTCAATTGTCACCAATTATTGTCTTGTATTCAAATTGGTGTCTATTTTAGGACTTCCGGCGCCATTGGGTTATGTGGCGGGCGCTGGTCGAGGGGCCACCGGATTCACCACCAGAAGCGATATCGGACCGGCCAGGGATGCCAGTGATGTGCCGTATGTTAAATCCATACCATTTGTACACTTTATACGGAACTAATTGGTGATTATCTCTGCAGAGACGACAGACACGCGCCGCCGAAACCAAAGATTGTCCGCAAGACTGGAGACAAAAACGGAGAAGAAGAGGAAGAGGAGGAAGACTTGAATGACTCGAATTACGACGAGTTTAACGGTTACGGCGGAAGTCTTTTCAGTAAAGATCCGTACGATAAGGACGACGAAGAAGCGGATCAGATATACGAATCAATTGATAAGAGGATGGATGAGAAGCGCAAAGAATATCGAGAAAACAAATTGAGGCGAGAATTAGAGCGCTATCGACAGGAAAGGCCTAAAATACAGCAACAGTTCTCTGATCTGAAGAGAGATTTAAATGCTGTGACAGAAGACGAGTGGAGGACTATTCCAGAGGTGGGCGACGCCAGGAATAAGAAGATGCGAAACCCTCGCGCAGAGAAGTTCACTCCCGTTCCCGACTCTATACTGGCGCACAACTCAGCCATTGGTTCCGGAGAGACAGTTGTCTCCATTGATCCCAGAACTGGACTCAAGACTCCGATGACTGCCGGCACTTCCACTGGTCTGCTGACTCCCGGAGGGTTTGTTACCCCAGGAAATCTGGATTTGCGTAAAATAGGTCAGGCCAGGAATACGCTTATGGATCTTAAGCTCAACCAGGCGTCAGACTCTGTGAGCGGACAGACAGTTGTCGACCCTAAGGGCTATTTAACTGATTTGCAATCAATGATCCCAAGTCATGGCGCAGACATTAGGTACTGAACGTTAGATTTAATCTATTATTGAAAAACTAATTTGTGTTTAAATTTAAAACTAATTTGTATTTAAATTTCATTGACAGTGACATCAAAAAAGCGCGATNTTTAAATTTCATTGACAGTGACATCAAAAAAGCGCGATTACTGTTGAAATCAGTTCGCGAGACAAACCCCAACCATTCGCCCGCTTGGATCGCTTCGGCCCGTCTCGAAGAAGTGACGGGAAAACTACAAACGGCGCGCAATCTTGTGATGAAAGGCTGTGAGATGTGTCCCAATTCTGAAGACGTCTGGTTGGAAGCGTCGCGTCTCATACCCGCAGACTTAGCGAAGTCAGTGATAGCACAGGCTGTCCAACAAATTCCTCTATCCGTTCGACTTTGGATTAAAGCCTCGGAATTGGAACAAGAGATGAAGGCCAAGAAGAAGATATTCCGGAAGGCTTTGGAACAGATCCCGAATTCGGTTCGGCTCTGGAAAGAGGCCGTCGAACTCGAAGAGCCAGAAGACGCCCGCATTCTGTTGTCCCGAGCGGTCGAGTGCTGTCCCTCTAGTGTGGAGCTATGGCTGGCACTCGCTCGACTCGAGACCTACGACAACGCGCAGAGAGTTCTCAACAAAGCGCGAGAAAACATTCCGACGGATCGACAGATTTGGATCACAGCCGCCAAACTGGAAGAAGCGCAGGGAAAGACTCAAATGGTGCAGAAGATCATCGACAGAGCCATCTCTTCACTTAATGCCAATGCCGTCGAAATAAATCGCGAGCAATGGCTTAAGGATGCGATGGAAACTGAAAAGTCTGGTTCCGTTCAGACGTGTCAGGCGATTGTGAGCGCTGTCATCAGCTATGGTATCGATGATGAGGACCGGAAGCATACGTGGCTCGAAGACGCAGAAAATTTCGCAAATCAAGAGGCGTTTGAATGCGCGCGAGCTATATATGGCCACGCGATCAAGACGTTCCCCAATAAGAAGTCCATTTGGTTGAGGGCCGCGTACTTCGAGAAGAATCACGGGACCCGACAAAGCCTTAAGAATCTATTACAGGCGGCCGTTCAGAACTGTCCGCAGGCAGAGGTCTTATGGTTAATGGGCGCTAAGTCTGAGTGGTTGACCGGTAATGTTCACTCCGCTCGAGAGATATTATCCCTCGCTTTCAAAGCTAATCCAAACAGCGAAGAGATTTGGTTGGCGGCCGTTAAGCTCGAGTCCGAGAACGAGGAGTACTCGAGAGCCAAGAAGTTGTTGGAAAAGGCCCGACAAAGTGCTCCGACGGCTCGCGTTCTCATGAAGTCCGCCAAACTCGAGTGGCAGTTGAAGAATATTAGGGAAGCGAAAGCACTTCTAGCAGAAGGCGTTAAGGATTATCCCAATTATCCCAAACTCTGGATGATGTCCGGACAGATTGCACAGCAAGAGAACAATATCGATGCCGCCAGAGATGCCTTCAATAATGGTCTTAAAAACAATCCGACGTCTGTTCCTCTTTGGATACTTTTGGCACGACTTGAAGAGAAGACGGGAGCTCTCATTAAAGCGCGCTCTGTCTTAGAGAGGGCTAGACTTCGAAACCCTAAATGTCAAGAGTTATGGTTGGAGTCGATTAGAGTCGAGCGAAGGGCTGAAGAGAGCAAAGAGACAGCAATGCCTATTGCGATGCCTATGATGGCTAAAGGTGTGTATTTATATACTTCTCTGACATTCAATATACAGATATTAATTGTTTGCATACCTTTTTAGCGCTTCAAGAATGCCCTCAAAGTGGTCTTCTCTGGTCTGAAGCAATATTTATGGAAAATCGTCCGCAAAGGAGAAGCAAAAGTGTGGACGCATTGAAACGGTGTGAACACGACTCCAATGTATTGCTGGCCTGTTCTCTACTGTTTTGGACCGAAAGAAAACTCAACAAATCTCGCGAATGGTTTAACCGAACTCTTAAATTGGATCCAGACTTCGGTGATTCGTGGGCTTATGCCTATCAGTTTGAACTTCTTCACGGAACTAAAGTATGGTTCATATTTGCATATCATTTCTGATACAACCTATAATTTGGTAGTAATTAACCCTTTCGTGTCTCCATTTCAGGAGCAACAGGAAGACCTTAAGAAGAGATGTGCGGCCGTAGAGCCCAGACATGGAGACAACTGGTGTAAGGTATCCAAAGATGTGGCCAATTGGAGGCTCAAAACAGAAGACATTTTAGAGAAAGCGGCCAATAGTTTACCCATTCCTACGTGAAAGGCATCCCATGTGAGCATAATATTGACAAATCATTACTGTATTCCCGTATTTGGCTATTTTGTTGGACTACACTATTCTGTAACTATTCCTTACAATAACTGTAATAAAAACATTGTATTCTAGATTCTCGAAAGTTTGAGTATAATGTTAGCATTATTATAATTAACTTGATTTAAATGATATCTGAATCACAACATGTCTTATCATTCATATCATAAATACTTGAAATAAAATGAAAACAACAATTGAATGAAAACTACAATTGAATCAAAACTACATTCAGTTACCATTGAATTCAATCTGATTGTGAGTTCATATTTGTATGGATTAGTCGTTGTTTGTGAACGAATGGACACAATGTTTGTTGTGTTGATTGCAGACAATGTCCGGAATCGCTGTCAACGAAGATCTTATTAATCAGTATTTAAGTGATGACTCACTTCTTAATATCTTTGAGTTGATCCCTATTTTACAACTCTTTAAGTTGAGACTCGTTTGTAAACGATTTAAGCAATTGATTGATTATAAACTGAAACTTCGACGAAGTGTTGCGGTTACCATCAAATCAGATGATAATAGCGATAATGAGGAGGAATACGACTCACGAAGAGACTGTTCTGATGGCAGACATGAGTTGACGACAAATGACTGCATTTATAAGGCCTGTCGTGCCATACAAGACGGCTCAAGAACTTTGTATGTCTTAAGCGATGACCACTTGAAGCCATTGTTTGCC